CAGCTAAGGCCACCCCCCCCCACGCTGAGAGTACCACTCACGAAGCTCCTGGGGCGACAGGGTATGCTGCTGGCGCTGGCCACCGCCAGAGCCTCCACGAGCTCCACCGCCGCCGCCGCCACCACGACCACCACCGCCACCACCGCCACCGCGTCCACTGCCGCCACCACCACCGCCCCAACCCCGGCCACCTCCTCCACCACTGCCGCCACCACCCCCGCCGCTGCCGCCACCACCTCCGCCGCTGCCGCCACCACCCCCGCCGCTGCCTCCACCACCCCCGCCGCTGCCACTGGCCCCTCCAGCCCCGCCACCACCCCCACCGCCACCACCGCCCCCACCACCGCCTCCCCCATCATCACCGCCTGCCCCCTTGCCCCCTTTGCCCTTGCCGCTGCGGCGCCACGTACTCGCAGTGGACGCAGTTCCGACCTTCTCAGCACCAAGAAGGTCGACAGCAGCAGCAGAGGCGACAGAGGGGAGAAGAGGGGAGGGGGAACACCCCTCGAAGAAAGGGATGCGAGGGTCGCCGCGAGAGGCACCGACAGCGACTATGCTAGTCTCAGCTGCCAGCAGGTGCTTCTCAAGCAGGTCAATGGTGAGCTCGATGGGGCAGAGAGCAAGGAAGTGGTCCCTGACCGCACGAAGGGAGTCAGGGAGACGGGTGACCAGGTGGTAAAGAGTGAGCCACAGCGGGGGGGGGTTCTTGGCAAGAAACTCAGCGGGCAGAGCAGCACGGAAGCGGATCTCACTAGTGCGGAGGTGAGTAATGAGGTCAGCGACGGTAGAGAAGGTGGACAGGTCTGGGAACAGGTAGGGCGGTGAGAGGCGGCCTAGCGAGGCAGAGGCAGGCGAGGAGTAACGCGCAACGACAGCAGTGTACAGTGACTGAGCAGTCTTCTGCTGGCTAAAGTGCTCGCGTTCATCTACCGGCAGGGAGTTGCGAATGGCGAAGCGAGAGTGGGCGTCACGAGTCTGCCACTGTGAGCGGGCAGTATTGTCAGCAGTCGCAGCAGGGGCAGGAGCGAGGCCTAACGCATGGTCATACAGTGAAATGTCCTCCTTAGCAGTGAGCTGGAGGAACAGGTGGAGATCCTCAAGCCAGGTGTCAAAACGCAACGGGCGGCCCTCTGCATCGAAAGCTAGAACTGCAGGACTAGCCATAGTGTGAGGAGCAGCAGTAGCAGTAGGAGCAGTAGCAGTAGCAGTAGCAGTAGTAGCAGTAGCAGTAGGTGGGGCACAGTAGGGCGGCGCGGCTCGGTCAGGGCGGCGCGGCTCGGTTCGGGCGGCGCGGCTCGGGCGGGGCGGCGCGGCGCGGCTCGGACTAGGCGACGCGGCACGGCGCGACGGTGGGCCTGCGCGTGGGCGACTGTAGTGGGCGGGCCGCGGCTGTGCGTCGGCTGCAGTCGCGCGCGGGCGGCGGCCTACAAGGGCAACGCGGCGGCCTACGGGCGTGGCTGCGACGTTCTGGACGGCCAGGAGGGCCGGTCTACGGGCGGCTAGTGGGCTGCTCGTGGGCGGCGCTGGTCGTGCGGGCGGCTACCGGTCGGCGCGCGCGCAGAAAAGGCCGCGCGCGGGCTTCTAGCGGGCTACGTGCGCTAAAAAAAAGGCCGCGCACGGCACTAGCGGGCTGCGCACGGGCAGCAGGAGAAGGAGAGGCGCACGAGGGCGCACTAGGAGAGAAGCGCTCGAGGGCGATAAGTCGATAGGGCGCTTGAGGTCGCTTCTAGCGGAACGGTGGGCCCTTAGGTAAGTGGTCCTAGGTTCCTAACCTAGGCTCGTAATACCATGTTAGAAATGAGAAGTGTGTGAACTAGAAAGGGATGGGAGTACAAATACCTACCTAGGCTCGTAATACGTTGATGTCGTTTGATCTTGAGCGGTGGGGTTCGCTTGTGTTGAAGCGACTTGGCTCCTTGAAGGTCGAAGCTGTCGCTGTGGCGGTGTTGATTGTTGTCGATTCGGGCAGTGTGTGCGAGGGTGTCCTGAAGTCTTGCAGAGATGACAAAATGGAGGTACGGGTTTCAGTTGATGCCGATTGTTGTTGTTGTTGTAGCGCCGTTGAGTGTGAAACGCAAATTCGGGAACTGACGTTTTCTTCTTGTGCCGCTCCTCTTGCAGGTCCATGTCTTGCTGCTCGGCGTGAATTTCGGCGCAGAGTGCAGCTTCGGAGATCTTCCCGTGAGCTCGGAGTATGGCGCGAGTGGAGCGCCAGTGTGGACCAAGACCGCCGATAACAACTGTGACGAAGGCGTCTTCTGATATCGATCCTCCACATCGAAAAAGTTTGTCGCGCAATTCGCGGCAGCGACTAATATACGCCATCCCCTTTTCGCCCGGTTTCATTTCCACTGTTGTCAGTTGCGCCATTAACCGACTCTGGTTGACGCTGTCTGTTGCTTGATACAGGTTCTTCAGGTGGTTGTACGCGAGTTCGGCGGAGTTGCCGTATCCTCGGTAAGACCGTATGTTCTGCTGTTGGGTTGGCGTGACGTTGCGTAGTAGAATTGTGTATGCCATCATTGACTGATAGGTGTACTGCTGCTTCTCGTACTGTGTGCCGTTTGTTGGGTATGGCAGGGATCCGTCGAAGAAGCCGAGGATTTGCGCGCCTTCCATCATCAGCTCGAACTCGAATGACCAGGTAAAGAAGTCCTTTCCGTCGAAAGGTCTTGACGTCTGCAGCTTCAGAACGTGCGCGAACTGCGACTGAACTTGTAGCGCGTCCAGTGTCTTCTCTTGTCCAGGTGCAGGCTGTGTTTGTGGCATAAAGCTGACGGAGCCACGCTGGGGCTCGTACGGAGCAAAGGTAGGTTGCTGCTGTTGATTTCCACGTGCATAGGATGAACCATCGAGGCTCATCGGAGTCACGTCGTTGTTGTTGTTGCTGTTGTGTGACTGCGCAGGTACCGATTGCTGGTGTTGTTCGTAGAAGGACATGAAGGAGAAAAACTTCTCCATCATGCTCTGGTCGAAGCCTGCAGGTTGATTCGCGGGAGTCTCGGTGGATGTTGCCCTGGGTCTTGTTGCCGTACCCTCCTCTGTCTGTAGGCCAGAGGCAGGAGGTGGAGTAGGAGTAGTGCCGGGAGAACCAATAGAGGAACTCCTTTCCTTCTGAGTAGCCATGTCTTCTGATGTTGTAGGTGTCTTGATAGTTGAATTCCCCCTGATAGCTCTCATACCATGTTGGGCTGAGAAAATTGCCCTTAGGATCTTTGCAGGGGTGAACTCTGGGTAGAACTGATGTAGTAGCGGAAGCGTTTAATGAAGAGTTGTGAACCACCTTGCGCTAGTATGTGAGGGCAAAGTTGATTGATTAAAGCAAAGAGATACCGTACAATATTATATAAGAGTACAAGGAATACGAAGGGATACGGTTGTAACTACTATACTGTTTGCTGTTGCGGTTCGATACAGTGACGACTCGGGCAACTGCTCTGTAGCGAGTCAGTTGTGTGTCCTTGTTGTCGCGCTGTATTTGTCAGGTCAAAGGTCGCTGACCTTTGACTTTCGCGTAACCTCCAGCAACTGCTCAACCTCCGAGGGTTGACTCGCCAGTGCTTCGATATGCTTTGCTTCGCTTCTGACTTGGTGTTTCGACACGACAGAGGCGCTCACAATTAATTGTTTCCAACAAGCTCGACAGGCAGGGGAAACCCTAAAAAAAGAGAGTTAACGGTGGGCCCACTAGGAAATTAGGTCCTAAGACCTAAGTGCTCTTAATACCATATTAAAGTAGGATGATGACTATCGAGAAAGTTTTGGTACAAAAGTGAAACCTAAGGGGTTGTACCCCACAGTGAGTACCCCACTAAAGCCTACCTAAACTATAGCATATAAACATATGTTTGACAGTTTTGCCCCGGTTGTACGATAGAGTTAAGGGTACATTCCGCTGTGGACACATGTCCCAATCGATGTGTCCCAATCGAGTGTACCGCTCCGAACCGAACTAAACCAGAGACGCGAAAATTTTGAAACTAGGGTGCAATTTGGTGTAATACGATGCAGTGCGGTAGAAACGATTGGGACACATCGATTGGGACATGTGTCCACAGCGGAATGTACCCTAAGTAATAACAATTTTCCGCGAGCGCTAAAAATTTCAGCGATATATGAAAAAACGATTTTCAAAACAGCAACTTGTCACTAAATAGTCAGAAGTTCAGAAAGTGTGTCAGTATTTCGGAAAGTGTGTCAGTATTTCGGAAAGTGTGTCAGAATATCGGAAAGTGTGCCAGACTCGTCAATTTAGTCTGGCGCGAGCGGGAAAAACCAGAATCAGGGTCAAGTTGGGCGAGGGTTTCTTCTAGTTACCATTCGCGTGATGGCTTGCCAGTGTATAGTTACCAAACGCGTGAATCGAGTTACCAAACTCGTGAAAATTCATTGTTATGTTACCGTATGCGTTATAAATCCCCATGTATGTTACCATTCTCATATTTTCCCTTTGGAACGTATGTACCTACATTCTGGGAAAAGTTTTGCATGAACTACATTCGCATATGCCGAGCTTCAAAACTTATATTTTCCACAATCGTGAGCTCCTAAAAAACACTCCCGCCCTATCTTTCTGAAGCCGATATTTTGGGACAGTGTGCGAGATTCACTCGCAAGCAGGTGCCTTGGTGGCTTGGCGGCAGCAAGCCGCGTGGCTCGTAGCTGGCTCTGGAGTGACACGTGCCGTGCTCGAGTGACGCGGCCGGCAGACGTGCTCCGTCTGGATGGGTTCGGAGGACGGCGCGGGGAAGGAAGGCGCGCGCAGGGAGGCCCGAATGACATTGTCTACTAGAGGGAATGTGTTTCAGCGGCGCACGATCGATCGGGCCGCACGGGAGAAGAGGGGCGAGACGCGGGGAAGCGGAGGAGGAGAGGGGGATGCGGAGAGGGGGGTGGAGGAGGGGAGGAGCGAAGTCAAGAGGGAGGAGGAGGAATCACTAGGGTGGGCGGTGTGGGGGCAGCGGAAACGACGGCGCGATTGCTCTCACGTGAGGAAAGGAATGGTGGCCGTCGGTGGAGGGAGGGACGGGTGGGGACGAAGGGAAATGAGTGAGGGAGACGAGGAGAAAAGCGAGGAAGGGCAATGGAGAGAGGAGCAGGGGGAGGGGGCCATACTTTGGAAAACGGGAGTCGCGAAAGACGTGGCAGGCGCATGTGTGGCGGGCACACGCCGTGGCGGTTCGAGTGGCATGCAGGGCGAGGGGGGTGAGGGGGGAGTGCATGGGCGCATGGCAAGTGGAAGTGCGAGCAGCGGCGAGGGTCGAGCGGCGAGCAGCGAGGGTCGAGTGGCGAGCGGCGAGGGGACAGGGATGAGCGGCGATGGGGAGGGAAGGGTAGCGTGGGCGAGTGAGAGTGGGAGCAGTGGGGGAGTGGCGGAGAGGGAGGCAGTGAGCGGCGCGCGTGCAGGCAGCGGTGGCGGCGACTGGCCCACCAGCACGGCGCGGGGAGGAGCTCCCCTCCTCCTCCACGCAGCCGCGGGCGCGCGGGTGATGCACACGGTGGGTGGCGGGTGGAGCGACACGCCAGCAGGGGGCTCTCACCCCGCCTGCTCCTCCCGTGACGCCGTGCGCTTGGTAGCGTGCAGTGGCGCCGGCAGCAGAACGCTGTGTGTGAAGGGGCGTGCTGCAAGGGGCGTGGTGGCGGCGGGTGGGAGAGAAGCTTGGCGGCACGGAGCGACGACTTCAGGGACAACGGACCGGGGGGCGACCAACGAGGAGAGAGGCGACAAGACAGTGTCCGTGAATGTGCTTATAGGGAGGGGAACTCCGGAAAAGACGAGGAAAGAGAAAAAGGGTGTGGCTGTGATGGTATTGGGAGAGAAGGATGGGTGGGGTGCAGAGGGGCAAAGGAATGATAAATTGGTGTCGATGAACGTGCTGATAGGGAGGGGTGCGCTGGGAAAGGCTCAGAGGGAGGTGGGTAGGGAGCGAGGGAACACAAGTGGGAAGGAGTGGGAGGGCGCAGCATGGTCAGAGGGCGAGGGCAGCAAGGTGGTGTCGATGAGCGCGCTGATAGGGCGGGAGATGGGGGCGACAGGACGGATGGAGGCGAGCGCGTGGAAGGAGGGCACCCGCGCAGAGGGGGGCGACCAGCTGGATGGTGCGGGCTGTAGCGAGGGCAGAGGCGGTGAGGGCAGAGGCGGTGAGGGTAAGTGGAAAAGCAGCAAGGAGACGAGGCATGGGCAGCAAGAAGGGCAGGCGGGGTGGCGGGATGGCGTGGCGATTGCTACCCTTGCCCGCAGTGGCGCTGACCCCCCGAGTGCAGGGGCCTGCAGCAGTGGCCTTGCCATGCTGGGCATGGGGCCCGGGGGGGAGGACGAGAGGGGAAGAGAGCAAGGCAGAGGAGTGGGCAGGGAGAGGGATAGAGAATGTGAGGCAGGAAGGGGCATGGGGGACGAGGTGGTGGTGGTGCGCACGAGGGGCGAGGGGGAGAGGGAAAGAGAAGGGTGCAGGGAGAGAGTCGAGGAGAGTGAGGTTGCTGTGCGAGAATGTGGAGGTCTGAGGTGCGCGAGAGAAGGGGAGAGTGCAAGAGAAAGCGCAGGGGGAGCAAGAGCAGCAGAGGGGGGAGCAGAAGGTGAGGAAGCAGTGATGCAGTGGGGGGATGCAGCGGAGCAGCGGCAAGCACGTGTGGGCACGAGAGCAGCACCGCTGACAGCTGGCGGGTCTACAGCTGCGCATGCGTTGGTGGGTGCATCCACAGCAGCCGGCATGGCGCCCCTCCCCCCTCAGGGCGCGTCCATGAGTGGCGGTGGTCCACCCGGCATCCCTCCGCACACACACTCCACCGCCACCCACCCCGCGCTGCCCCCTCGCCCTCCACCTCCCGCTGCTGCCTCCCCCCTTTCATTCCTCCGCCTGCCCCCCCCACCTCTTGCCGCTGCGCCCCCCTCTCCACTCCTCCGCCTGCCCCCCTTACCTCCTGCCCAGCCTCAGGCCGCCACTGGCCTGCAGGCTGCCACAGTGCCGTGCACGGGCAGCCAGCCATCGCACCCTGCTGCCCCGCCTCTGCTCTGCCCGCTTCCACCGCGTGCTCCCACACCGCCTCTCCTCACCCTTCCCACGCCGCGCCCGGATGGCACGCCCCCGCTTCCCACTCACACTCCGCCACCACCCCAACCCACGCTGCGTGAAATTGCCACTTCTCCCTCCTTGCCTGCGCAAGCCTCAAAAGCCTCCAAACATGCAGGCCTGGAGGGCACTGCCTCGTTTGGGCAGCGCCTCGTGGTGCTGGCTCTGCCTGCTGCTGTGCACGTGGGAGTTGATGTGAAGGGGGCGAGGAGGGGGAGGGTGGAGGGTGGCAGGGCGGTAGGAGCAGTAGTGGGAGAGGGAGAGAGGGCAGGGCGAGGTGAGAGGAGAGCGAGGGGTGAGAAGGCGGTGGGAGGAACAGTTGGAAGGAGAGGAAGGGAAGTGAGGGAGCGAGGGGGATGGGGAGAGGTGCGAGTGCAGGTGCAGGAGAGGGTGGGGCAGGCAGAGGTCGAGGTGAGGAGAGGGAAGAGGCGCGCGGAGAAGGGGGTGGAGAGGGGGCGATGGGAAGGGGAGGGGTGGGCGATGAAGCGAGGGCGAGTGGCACGAGGCAAGCCCGCCACGGTGATGCTGGCAGGCGTGGCCGGCTGTGGGCATGCTGGTCACTCCATGCGCCCCGCTGCTGCCCCGCGCTCACACGGTGCTGCTGCCCCGTGGCCGGGGCTGCTCTGTGCTGGTGCCCGGCAGACAGAGAGTGAGGACGGCAGTGAGAAGGGCAACGAGGAGAGTGAGGAGGGCCGTGAGGAGGAGGGTGAGGAGGGCCGTGAGGGGAGTGAGGAGGGAAGTGAGGGGAGTGAGGAGGGCAGTGAGGGGAGTGAGGAGGGAAGTGGGGAGGACCGTGAAGAGGGAAGTGGGGAGAGTTCAGTTAGTGGGGAGGGCCCCCGAATAAGGAAAGTGTGGCGGAGGTCAGAGCAGGGCGGTGAGGCAGAGCAGGGAGGAAGGGCGGAGGGCGAGAGGCAGAGGCGTGTGGAGGCGGTGGTGAGGCGAGTGCAAGGAGAGCAGGCAGGGCGCAAGCACGGGCGCGGTGGGCGTGAGATGCTGAGCGGTGCTGGTGGCAGGCGAGAGCAGCGACGGGCACACGGGGCGAGGGCAGGAGAGTGTGGGGCAGCATGGCTTGAGCAGGGCAGCAGCAGCAGCAGCGATGCTTTGGGTGACAGCAGTGGAGGCGCGAGTGCGAGTGAGAGCAGGAGTGCGAGTGAGGAGATGCAGTCTCCCCCACACAGCAAGTGCCGTCACGACAGCCTTGCTGCTGCACGTGCCGGGCTGGCAGAGCACAGCGGAACACGTGCAGGAAGAGGGGGAGGTGGAGTGGAAGCGGTAGCGGAGGAGAAGCATGGGAGAGGCGCAGATGGGGGAGAGGAAGAGCAGTGGGAGCAAGGAGTGATGGCGGAGGTGAGTCTCTGCGCTTCATTGCGCCATGTGGCACAGTGAACTGCTCGTCTCAATTGCAGAGAGGTACATGTGATCACCATTCCCTCCCTTAGCGGATTAAGTTCCGCATATCCTCTCTGAAGCACGCACCAATGCGCATCATGTTCTCCTCGTTCTTCCGGTGTGCCCCCACCAGCTGGCGTCCATCAAGGCACGGCTGGAAGGAGCGCTGCTCTCCAATGCAGCAGTGAGTCACGTGCCACCTCCTGCACCACCACCACCTGTCACCATCCTCGTCATTTCACCTTGCCGTGCTGCTCATGTGATTTCCCCTCATTTGTTCTTCATTTTCATCCTCCGTTTTTTTCAGTTATAGGAGACATAAGCTTGTCGTTGTCACTCCCCCCGCTGTGCTGTCCACGGGTGCAGGCGGGGCAAGCGCGAGTGCTGCTGTGGTATCTGGCCAGCCTCGACATCTCCCCGCCTCTCCTCCGCCACTCCGGCCTCCTCTCCTGCATCGCCCGCCTCGCATTCCCCTCCTACCACTCCCACGTGCCCACGTCATCACCAAACCTCATGCCGTGCCACCCACCTGTTGCTGCCGCCGCTGCTTCTGCGGCTGCCACCACGCCACGCCATGTGGCCGGGCAGAAAGCAGGCGAGGCAGTGCGGCAGGCGCAGCAGGGGGGCGAGCAGGTGGATGAGAGGGTGAGGCGGCTGCTGGCGGAGCGAGCAGAGGCGCTGTGCAGGCAGTGGCGTGGCGAGGGGTGGTGAGGGCACTGCTGCGTGGGTGCAATGGAGGAGGTGTCATTCAGGAGCATGCATGTCTCTATGTATGCATGTATATGTATGCATGTCTCTATGTATGCATGTATATGTATGCATGTCTCTATGTATGCATGTATATGTATGCATGTATATGTGTGCATGTCAAAATGTATGCATGTATATGTGTGCATGTCTCTATGTATGCATGTATATGTGTGCATGTCTCTATGTATGCATGTATATGTGTGCATGTCTCTATGTATGCATGTATATGCGTGCATGTCTCTATGTATGCTTGTATATGTGGGCATGTCTCTATGTATGCATGTATGTGCATGTCTCTATGTATGCATGTATATGTGGGCATGTCTCTATGTATGCATGTATATGTGTGCATGTGTCTATGTATGCATGTATATGCGTGCATGTCTCTATGTATGCATGTATATGTGTGCATGTCTCTATGTATGCATGTATATGTGGGCATGTCTCTATGTATGCATGTATATGTGTGCATGTGTCTATGTATGCATGTATATGTGTGCATTTCTCTATCTTTGCATGTCTGTTTATGCATGTCTCTGCCTATGCATGTCTATTTATGCATGTCTCTGTCTATGCATGTCTCTTTATGCATGTCTCTGTCTATGCATGTCTATTTATGCATGTCTCTGTCTATGCATGTCTATTTATGCATGTATCTCTGTCTATGCATGTCTATTTATGCATGTCTCTGTCTATGCATGTCTATTTATGCATGTCTGTGTCTATTGTCAAGGAGTGTGGCATTGAGTAGGGTTGTGAGTACACGTAGGAAACCCTAAGGGGTTGTATTCACTAGAGTATGCCCCACTACAGCCTAGAGAATACAAACATAGTTTGACACACCCCCATAGGCGAAGTGGGGGATAACAAACACAATGAACGGTCACATCACCAGTCAAGCAAGAGAACAAAGCGAAGCAAAGCTCAGGGAGGATCTCAAGATCACCACACATTCTGAGCACAAGCAAGCGGCCACAAGGCCAGTTCGCATGCAGAGTTCATAAAAGCAATTGGAGTACACTGATCACAAACAACCTAGCAAAAGCAAACATGCATGTATGATCATATATATCAAAGTACAACAAGTGCAAGGCAAGATCAAGAGACAAGCAGGTGAGGCAGAGTGGGCACAAGCCCAAGAGCAGTGCAAAAACGCTGATGATCACTAGACCCAAGGGCCTTGGTGAATACATAAGCAGTTTTGGCCTGTGTGGCCACGTAAGCAAGTCGAAGCTGGCCACGTACCGGTAAGCAAGTCGAAGCTGACCACGCTGTTGCAGCTCTCGCGTGAGGAAGTAACGGAGAGCAATGTGCTTCGTTCTGTGCTCCAGTCTCTGGTCCTGACACAAGGCAATCATGGCCTTGTTGTCGACGTACATAACTGGAGGAGAACGAGGCCGCTCACCCAAGTCGGTCAGCAGGTAGGTCAGCCAGCGGAGCTCCTGTGCAGACATAGCCCCGGCGTAGATCTCGGCCTCACTGCTGAAACTAAGTACAGAAGAAGAGCGAGTGGACCTCCACGAGACTGTACCCCTGTGTCGACCGGTGAGTCGGCTGGTCGTCAGCCCAAGAAGCGTCTGAGTGACCGGTAAGAACAACTGAACCCCGTCTTCCAAGTTCGAGCTTCATGCCCGATGTACTGCACAAGTAACGCAATACCCTCTTCGCAGCTTCCCACTGCACCTTTCGGTGTCTACCGGGAGCCACGTAGCGAGCCAGGAGGCTGAAAGGGTACATGAGGCAACCCACAAGCTCAGGGTACGGACCACTCGGCTCTACGGACTCGTTCGAAGGTGGAGGTGAGAGCGAGTGGCTGGTAGACAGAGGAGTGGGCTGTGGCGAGGACCACGAGAAGTCGAAGCGCTGAAGGACCTGCTGCACCATGTGTGACTGAGTGAGGGTGATGGTGCGGCGTGCTCTGGCTCGGGTGATCTGCAAGCCAAGATAGCTCCGCAGCTCACCCAGGTCAGTGCAGGTGTGTCTCTCCTGCAGCTCCGCCTTCACCAAGGCCAGAGCCTCAGTGTCAGCAGTAGCAAAAACCAAGTCGTTAACGTACACGAGAACGTAGAACGGCGGCAGAGAAGTGTCTGTGCGCAGAAACAGCGAAGGGTCAGCAGTCAAAGGAGCAAAGCCAAGAGCCGCAAGTGTAGTCCTCAGTGTGTCGTGCCACTCACGGGGCGCCTGTCGTAGGCCGTAGACTGGTCGCCGAAGACTCCACTGGGTACCCTCAGGAAACGACCCAGTGAAGCCACGTGGGCGGCGCAACCAGATAGCCTCGTGAAGGCTGCCCTGCAAGAAGGCTGTCGAGAAGTCGAGGGAGTGCAGCTCGTAGTCGCGCTGTGCTGCAACGTGGAGTAGCACCCGAAGAGTGGTCTTCTTCGGGGTGGGGGAGAAGGTCTGCAAGCAGTCGACCCCCTCACGCTGACTGAAGCCTCGTGCAACGTAACGCGCCTTGAAGGCAGGCGGAGAACCCGTCGGCCTCTTCACCCTGAAAATCCACATGCCATCGACTATGTTCGCCCCACGTGGGGGAACCTCGTCAATGTAGGTGCCTGTGGACTTCCAGGAAGCCATCTCTGCGTCCATGGCTGTCTGCCACTGAGAGGAGTACGGACCCGTGATTGCCTCTGCGTTAGTGCGCGGGGTCGGGATGTCTGGTGCATCCGGGTCTCCCTCAAGGCAAAGTAGCGTGGATGGGAGATGAGGTGCAGTGGCCGATAGGCACTCCACCTCAAACTGCCTGTCCTCAAGAACGTCACAGCCAAGGGCAAGCTCACCCCCGACGGACGGAGGACAGGAAGAGAAAAAAACAAGACTCGCAGCGTAGTCAAGGCGGCACAAAGCAGCAAAGTCAACAAGCTCAGCAACTAAGGCAGACGCAGCAGCAGACTCAAAGGAAGGGTCAGTCACAACCGTGGCAAGGATACGAGTGACAGTCGGACTGGCAGTACGGACAAGGTCTGACTCAGGGTCACGAACGTGAGGAAGAGAAGATGCAGGAGGAGACGGCAGGACAACACACTGTGGAACAGCGGAAGGACGAAGTGCCATACGGTGAGTGCCATACGGTGAGCACGAGGACGGACAACACGACGACCGTAAACAGGTGTGGAAGCACGAGTCTCAGACTCACGACGCTCAGTCAGGGTTTCAGTCACCTCCGTGTGAGGAGAAGGAGCAGGCAGTGGGGAGCCAGGCAGTGGCTGTGGCTGAGACTGGTCAGTCGGCGGGAACAGCAACGGAGGAGTAGTGCCAGCAACCGGGAACTCAGTAGCAGCAGGCGGGAGACTGAGAAGGTGACGAAGCGCAGACGGCTGCGGCTGAGTATTCACACCCCCAGAACCTCGAGCCCCATTAGGAACAGCACCCGCAGAACCAGCACCACCAGCTCCACCAGCGGGACTGCCCCAACGGACAGCCCACTCGCGAAGCTGCTGCGGTGAGAGCGACTCCTGCCGACTAGCACCACCAACTTCAGTACCTCCAGTAGCACCTCCAGTGTCAGCACCGCTAGTACCCCCAACTCCAAGAACAACAGCACTAGCACCTACAGGGACAGTACCTCCAGTACCAGTACCTCCAGCACGGCCAACTCCAGGAACACCAGCACTAGCACCTCCAGGGCTAGCACCTCCAGAACCTGAAGCTCCAGCACGTCCAGCGCCACCACCAGGACTGCCCCAATGGACAGCCCACTCGCGAAGCCGCTCCGGCGAGAGAGGCTCCTGGCGACGTGAGCCAGGACTACCCGCAGCAGCACCCACAGCAGCAGCAGCAGCAGCACCACCAGCACCTCCACCCGAAGAACCTCCAGCAGCAGCACCTCCAGCACCCACTGCACCCGTAGGACTCGCATCACCCCCAGAGCCAGCACCCCCAGAGCCCGCACCCCCAGTGTCACCACCTCCAGCAGCACCAGAGTCCACAGCGACGGGCCGTAGAGGCGGTGAAGACGGTCGAGGCGGAAAGCCAGGAGGGACCACCAAGCGCGTGGAGCGGCGATGGGCCCCGGTTTCGGTAGCAGTCTGGTCACCCCCCTCAGCTGGGCTGGAGGTGTCTGAGGAGACCTCCAAAGGCTCAACCAAGGGGGGTGGGTCTACATGAGACACACCTGAGGGAGCGGGACCGGGAGGAGGGAGGGGGGCTACCGGGGGGGGGGGTCGTCCACCAGGGTGAGAGGCGGGAGGGGTACCGGGGAACTGCGGTGGGGTTGAAGACGGTAGAAGCAGACGGACTCGTCAAAGGTGACGTCGCAGGAGGACAGCACACGATGAGAGCCCGGGTGGCAAAACTGCCAAGGCGGTGCGTCGGTGGGAAAGCCAAGGCACACGCACCGAAGAGTGCGTAGAGAGAGCTTGCCTGCAGGCAAATCGCGGACAAGAGAGAGGGAACCCCAGACCCGAAACGCCGACGCATCACCAACCTCGCCCGTCCACCGCAAAGTGGGGGAGGTCTCCAGGTGGGAGACACGGGGCCAGAGGTTGTGCTGCTCAGCGGCGTATCGGACCGCAAACGGCCACAGAAAATGGGGAGCAGCCGCATGGATCATGGAGGTGCGAGCACCCTCCATGACTAGACCAATGCGGCGCTCGGAATGCTGTGGAGAGGCCGGAAGCGTGAACGACTGGACGATGCCCTCGGCACCACAGAAGTCCTCGAGGAGGTGGGAGCAAAACTCACCACCTCGGTCAGAGTGCAGCCGCAGGACTGGGAGGTCCTCACGGAACCGAGTGCGAAGCTGGAGACGGACAGCGCGGATCCAGCGGATCAAGACACCGCGGACATGGGGAAGACCGTGGTGTAGCGCGTGTAGTCGTCTACAACCAGCAGAAAGTAGTGCTCGCCACCCTGTCCAGTGACGCGGGCGGGGCCCCACACGTCCATGTGCAGGGTCTGCAGAGGAGCAGTGGTAGGAGGAAACGAGGAGGAGTGAGGAGCGGCGCGCTGCCGCCCCTCGACGC